TGTCCTCCAGCACAGAGCCAATGTCTGAGGGGAAGGCAGGCTCCCAAAAACTGTCCCCTCTGATCCCAGTTATCCTCCAGTTGTGCTTTTTGCTGGTATCGGAAGACTACGAGGTCAAACAGCATTAATTTCAAAGAGGGCTTGACTTCTGTAAATCCTGTGGAAACTGCCAYATAGGTGTACTTTCTCTGTAAAGTTTGAATGTTTCAATCCCTGTTTTTTATCTTTTGTCAAAAACAAATGTGGACAAACTAAAAAATATCAAACCTCATCCTTTCTCTAGAGGAATTGGAATATAGYTTTTGAATGCTACATGATGTATTTGGTATTTAGATGTTTGAAATTTTATATACATGCTGTATTTATTCTACTAATGAAAAAGAATCTGGATTGATTTTCCTTGATAAGGAGGGAAAAGGATTTTTTCGCTGTCACTTCAATTCTAATCTTCTGAGGAGAGTAAAAACTAATAATAAATTGACTTCAGGTTAAGGTGCAATTGTCTGTATTGATAGTCCTGGCAGCGAGCTGTGCCCTAACCAGCTTGGTATAATAATTGGTATTGCATATCCATCTTAATGCATATCTAGCATGTTATAGGCATGCTATGGATACATATGTACATGTATTATACAAACAGTGATACATCTGGTACTACAGCATGCCTCATGTGGGACAGAATAGTGGCTTTTGGAAATGCCAAGAGTTTGGAAATGCTGCAGATATCCTGTGGATTTTTTTTTTTTTTTTTTCAAACAGAGACTCTTTTAAGGTTATAGTAGTATTTTTCAAAAGCAYTGTGTATTTGGTATTTCTCAGGCCTGCTGTAGCTGTATTAGTTAACAGATTCYGGGGTTATGTTGCTGTGCCATGTTGCTAAGCCTTAACACAGATCTGTGGGATGCTCATAAAAGATGTATATGGTACTCATCCAGCTATCTCTCAGCTTAATTCCAAGGCTGGCCCAGTGCTTGTGGCACTGGTTAGAAATTACAGTACATATTCCTAGAGAATTCCAAAGGGCATGTGAAAAATAATTATATTTTACCAGGTCACAGCTGCTCTGGAGTACTGAAAGGTCTTTAATGTGCTGTTGCAAGCAGATTTTTGACTGTATTTTTTAATGTAAACTCCATAAATATACTTCTTAAGAACGTGGGTAGCCTTTAAAATACTCTCCATGGAAAACCTGTTGTACATGGAGATCTTGATCACATTCTCCATCTTTTTCGTAAAATGTAGAAATTCAATGTGTCTTCAGTTCTAGGAGAATGAAGAAGTTCTGTCAATAAGAATATAGTTACTTATATGTTGGGAATAAAAATATGAATATTTAACACAGACGTGCCAAASCTTAGGGCTATAATGAGATATTTTAATTGAATTTCTAAGTTAAAATAGTGTTTTACCTGTATTTTGTTTATAGAATTAATTGATGCTCGTGACACTGAGATTAAAGTTCTTGTCAGACCTACAGGGAAATTACCTTTCGGAAGACTCTGTAATCTTGTTAATGCTTCATGGGCTGAGAGAGTTTAAGAGTTGTCGGGTGGGAAATACAGAGTACTCACACTACGGAATGCATTTAATAGAATTTTGCTGCAAGTTTATAATGCACTCTTGTAAGGTGCCATTGGGTCAATGTGGTAATGAGGATGCTTGTTTTTTTTTTTTCCTGAGCATCCTGATGGTGTGATAAGAATTGAAGTTCTGGGAACTCCCTGAGCTGAATATTGACCTGAATGACTCTCCCTGTGACTYGACAAGCTTTTTGGATATACTTTGTCCTGCTGTAGATCAGGTTCCAGTCATATACTTTTCTGGGCAGGACATTTATGAAATGTTGAGAAACCAAACACCTTGACTGGAAAGTGAAATTGAATCTGAGCTCACTCACCCTCGGTGAAGAAGGAAGAGGGCTGGATGTCTTCAAGAATCAAAGCTGAACCCTTGCTTCATTGAGCTTCCCAAGGACAGATTTCTGTCAGATAAAGCTGAGAGTAATAGTTTGATATTCAATGGAATAAGCTGAAATGAATGTTAGTGGGTTTTAGCTTCAGGCTTTTATGAGGTTATATTGATTTTTCAAAGCAAGCTGTCCCAAACCTAAGTTAGCCATAGGCTGATTYGTGGAGACATGTGAGGAATGAGGACACTATGATATATGAACTTCAGTATGATACATATCTTGTGAGGTTTCCTTATATTCACTAAGTACAATTTCTCCACAAATACATACTGCATTTTGTATTAGAGTTTAGTCTTCAAATGATCTGAACCATTTCAGAATTAAAATGTAATGTTGGATATAGTCCTTCCAACTATTAATGTCCATCAAATTCAGCTCTCAGCATTGTGTATGTACAYTGAGTACCTTGTCAAAGTTGATGCAGCAGCTCTGTATCAAATGCAACAAAAATGGGAGTGTAATAATGCCAGACAGTCCATAGCAAGGCTGAAAAGRTATTGAGTCTAAACTAAATACTCATTTAAAATTAGGTGGGCTCAAATGTGCTTCTTTCTTTTCCCTTGCCAGAGGAATGTGAGAGAGAATAGTTGTAATTGTAGTTATTTTGTCTGTCTGTAAAGGCCATGAGGTTAGACCACTGCACCTGTATTCTCTGTCGTTCCTCCCCCTTCTCTCCATGCTTTCTCCCTGTTCTTCTTTTCAGCTCTCCTAAATGGCCCCAGGGAAAGCCCTGTCAACTCAGAAACACTCGTGATGAAATCACATCTGTATTTTCCCTAAGGCAAATAAACAGCTTTGCTTGTGAGATCATGTGCTATGGATAGCAAAATTAAGTAACTTAATAGGGTACTGGAAATTGCAARGCTTTTGAGTAAGGTATTTCTTTTTTATTATTTACAGGACATACTGCAATGGGTACATAAAGTCCATRTYGGGAAGGTTTGCTCCTAATGCTTASTGTTGATATTTGTATTTAGAAGGCAAATTCCTCTATTTGTTAGATGTCAAACCATGAAGCAACCATGACAACATTAGAGCTAACTCCTTCACAGCTATGAACAACATGGAGTTTTTCCTTGCTTACTTGACAAAGTAAGCGATGCTGTCAGAACAGAATAGACTTACTGTATGCTTGATGTGGCTTTGAAAGTGTGTTAAAGGAAGGAAAAATAGTCTTCCCCCAAAACAACCTTGAAAACCTTAACTGTGATTGTTAGTMATGTGTAATATGAGTGAGGAAGAATCCTGTGAAGGAAAAAACCTGCTGTTCTGCCCTCAGGGTAGTTCTGCATTTGCAAATTCATGTTTTTAGGGATGAGGCCGAGCAAAGTGGTAGATGCGTTTTTACACCTGCCTCTATAAAAAGGGTTCCAGTAGTACAGAAATACTTTAAAAAATCCCAAAAACCAGTAACCTCCTGAAATGCCAGGNGGTGCAATTTTTGTCTTGGGCTGTTTTTTTGAGCTTTATTTGCTGCTTATGCAACAGTTGCCCAGAGCCAACCTTCGAGGATAGAGCGATAAACAAGGCAGGGTTGATTTGGAGCTTGCTGAGAAGGGGCTTGGGGTAGATGGCTCCTTTCTGCCATGTTCCTGTTTTGCCTGTTAATGTTGGAGCTCACTGCTGCTCCTGCTGTTGCCTGTTTAGATACTGATCAATCTAATCTTAGACAATCAGTTGGGCAAAATTCATGTTTCTTGTTATATTTCCATATGCAGTTTTCATAAATCCCAGTTGTTCACAGGTTTATTCTGAAAGCTTGAAAGTCACATGCTTTCTCTCAGGTCTATTTTCAGGCCATGAAAATAGTTCTTCTGGTCCTTTCTCTATGTTTTTACTTCCTGATAGCCCCAGAGGATTTTCCGCCTTTGTCTTTCCTCGCTGTATTTAGCCTGTCTCTGCCAG